TGGTCGCAAATATCACGGGCGGTCATGGTTCATGTTACCTTTTTGCAACATTAAACAACACCTGGCCGTCCCTAATCTATGATGGTGGCGCCACCTTAGTGACCGATCGCGGCACTAAGTGCAAGGTCTCCACGGTGATATAAGGTGGAACCACACGTGCAAAGGTAATTACGTGATTGATGATCGATTCCTGGGGGCGTACCCACTCGCATAATACGTCAAGCTTGCTCTTGCACAAACATCGTTTGACCTTTCCGTTACCGTGGAGACATTGAAATTAGTTCCCCGATCGGCTACCTAGTGGTGGCGCCACCAGTGTAGACTAAAAACGGATACGTTCCGTTTAACCTTCAAAAAGAAAGTCAAATTGTGTGAGGACCAGACTTGCTAAACTACCTTAAAGTGAAGTGTACGAGCATTATGCGCTATAGTAAATGAAATTCTTTTTTGCAGTCGAAAAACAAGTTACAACGAAAATTCTAGTAAATTTAGACCCTTAACTGCCGTTATTTATGCGCTACTTTCTTTCACTTTTGTTCTGGGCCCTCAACAGGCTTTCGCCTAATAACAGAGTAATCTGCATAATGTTTTTTATGTAAATTCTGCGCTGTTTTACCTTGTCCCAACCAATTTTTCGTTCCCGGTCACTTATAAAGCATCAATGAAAATAATAATTTGCGCCATTTTCCGTCGCATGTAATCGCATAAATAATGGGACTATGCAGATTGAAAATGAATTGTGTCCCGTTTTGCTCACAAACATACATACATACATAGAAGTAGATGGATATAATAGGCAATTGTGCCGTTTGTGCCGCCCTGCACGGCGTGGAAATGAGACTGCGTTGCTATCCCAGATAACATTGTATATTTCTGTAATATACCAAAATATCTGAGATATTCCCATTAGCATATCCCTATGTTCAAATATACTTTTTTGAATATACCTGGTATACTACAGAAATATTCAAAAAAAGTGTATTTGAACATAGGGATATGCGAATGGGAATATCTCAGATATTTTGAGAATAAACATAAAAGAATATTCTCCATTTATTCAAAATATTCTTGGAACATGATGCATATATACCACTTGGGATATTCTGAGTATAAAATTACCTGTAAACTGCATATGTCACTTTTTACATTACAGGTTCATAATTGACGACCTATAATAACAATAATTTTTAATTGGAAAAATGTGTAACGATCTAGTTACCCAAAAGAGATATTTTGTGTATCGTAATTAAGGTTTGAAATTGACATGTGATTGTGACAAAACAAATATACCCCGTACATCCAGGGAAGTTTGTAACACAATATTCAATAGCGAATAATCGAGGAATATATTAACAGTGTGTTCTCAGAATATTCATTGCTTTGGAATATTCACATACCTTCTCGCATGTTAAACAAGTTAAAAAGTAATCGTAAACGATTTACATAAAGCGCATTTCCACTTGCATTCATTTCCCATTTGTAAGATGCAACTTCTGTTAAAATCGTAAAAATCCGGCCACAAATATGAAAGATAGCGTTGCACATGGGCAATCCATTGTTGACGTGCTACTTCAATTTCAGTTTATGAGAAGAATTTCATTTCAATGCTTTTCTAAATAAGAAAGTTGGAACTGCGCATGCGCAAACCTAAATTTTAAAACTAATGTTAGATTTTCCTTTGTTCCAAGCGCCTAAGTATCAAATTTCACTTAAATAGTTCCATAGATAAAAAGTTGGCACTGCGCATGCGCAAAATAAAATTTTGAAACTGGCGCTAGATTTTCCTTTATTCCAAGTGCCTATGTATCAAATTTCATTTAAATTCTTCCATAAATAAAAAAGTTGGCACTGCGCATGCGCAAACCAAATTTTGAAACTGGCGTTTGATTTTCCTTTATCCCAAGTGCCTATGTATCAAATTTCGTTTAAATTCTTCCATAAATAAAAAAGTTGGCACTGCGCATGCGCAAAACCAAATTTTGAAATTGGCGTTTGATTTTCCTTTATCCCAAGTGCCTATGTATCAAATTTCGTTTAAATTCTTCCATAAATAAAAAATTTGGCACTGCGCATGCGCAAAACCAAATTTTGAAATTGGCGTTTGATTTTCCTTTATCCCAAGTGCCTATGTATCAAATTTCGTTTAAATTCTTCCATTAAATAAAAAAGTTGGCACTGCGCATGCGCAAAACCAAATTTTGAAATTGGCGTTTGATTTTCCTTTATTCGAAGTGCTTATGTATCAAATTTCGTTTAAATTCTTCCATAAATAAAAAAGTTGGCACTGCGCATGCGCAAAACCAAATTTTGAAATTGGCGTTTGATTTTCCTTTATTCGAAGTGCTTATGTATCAAATTTCGTTTAAATTCTTCCATAAATAAAAAATTTGGCACTGCGCATGCGCAAAACCAAATTTTGAAATTGGCGTTTGATTTTCCTTTATTCCAAGTGCCTATGTATCAAATTTCATTCAAATACTTTTATAAGTAAAAAAGTTTGCAATTCGGTTTATAAATGGTCGAGATGCGAAAAGGGCACTGTGAATTTTGAATCGATTCAATTCAACTTTTGGCATTGCGTATTATATGGCTAAAGCTATGCCCATATTGAATTTCATGCAATTCAGTTCATAACTAACGGAGATGTAAAAGCGATCGAACATTTCTAAACAAAGTTATCGTTCACACGGACAGATAGATGGACAGACAGACAAAGGAACAGACGGAGAGACCAACCGGCAGGCGACAGATAGCAATGCAAATTTATAAACGATCTCTAGGATCGTTAATAAACGGCAAAAGTGTAAAATTATGGAACATGTAAAAAACGGTTTTTTTGTTTTTTTTTACAATAACTTTTTTTGTAAGCGGTACAGAAAAAATTCCTTCCTTGGTACAAGACTCGACACCATAACGAACCAAATAGCGAAAAAAGTAGAACAATAGCTCTAAAGATAAAAAACTAGTAGCGTCGCAAAGTTAGCGGACGGACGGACGGACGGACGGACGGACAAAGTGGCCACAATAGCGCATTTTTTTTTTTTTGTGGAAATGCGCTAAAAAATATTGTAAGAATATTCAATGTTATCTGGGTGAGGGTCCCTGGTTCGAATCCTGGTTCGGGCATGCATATTTGTAAATGTATAGTGGGTGGAGTGGGTGGACAACCCCCCACTTAAAAATAAAGACCATAAATAAATAAAATAAATTAATTAAATCTAGAGGAGTATCCAAGTAGAACCAAACCTTGCAATTGCTACGATTAATACCTTGTTTCCATGATAATTAAAAGCAAATTATGGGCTGTTTAGTGAGTTCGAAATTAAAATTAAAATCTACGCCTGTGGATGATGGTCCCAGGAGCAAAAGAATTACTAAAGGAATGCTACTGACTTTAGACGCAGTATGTGCTACTTTCTTCCGCGACAGTCAGGTGTCAATTGACAATTGTGCGCAATTTTATTCTATTCCAATGAAGGTTTCGCTCCCTACCGCCTTTGTAACACCAAGAGAAAATGGTTTCCTTTTATAAAAACGAGAATTATGCGCAATCTTGCGCCGTCATGCCGCCTTTATCAACAATTATTGAATCTCAAGCAAAATTTTGAAGTAAAAATCTAACAGAGATTCTCCAGTTGTGGGTTGGTGGACGCGAAGCACTTAGACGTAACATCCCCTAACCCCTGTCATAACACCAACAGTTGAATTTTTCTCGAGAAAAGTGTTTTCCTTTATCAACACATAAATTTTGCGCTGTTATACTTTTTGCGCCTTTGATTTAAATTAAGTATAATTACAATTTTACTTTGAACTGATCTTGCATCTTGTTTAGAAGTATGTTGCTGAACAGTGCAAAAACGTAGCAAACAATCCACGCGTATACATTAAAATTTACAAATTGTTCACCTCTCCCTCCTGTGCAAACCAAAATCTTCACTTTTCTCAGACCCAAAGTGCGTGCCGTGACCCTTGTTTGCACCGAACGCAGTTTTATGTTACAAAATTATTTTTTCAATTTTGTGAGAGAGAATAAAATTGTGCGCCGTTGCACTTAAGTGCATTGTTGCAATGTTGATCTTATTTCGAGCGATGAAGATTAAAAACGCCGTTTTGGCAAAATTTGGCGCTTTGGTACAAAATTCACTGTTGCAAATCCGAGTTGCAATGGAGGCGTGGAATATTGGCAAATGACGATACAATTAAGCATCAATCGTGTGTCACATTTAAGCACACTTCGAGCGCCATTTGGCGCCGTCAAAATTAATGTTCAAAATTACACAGCTAACGCCCTTAATTTTTGACTTTAAATTTTAAGTCGTTTTTCTGTCTCCCCCAATCTTTTTTTGATTCGACAAGCCGATTGACGGAAACAATAGCCCAAATTGAAATTTTCACAGCCGAAGACGAATCGAACAGATATCAAAGTCAAAAAAATATATTCCTATCTCGCGTTTCTTTGTTTACGACTTTCGGAAATGGATGCTTTGCCGACTTTTGATTTTAACAAAAAACGTGACATTAGAATCATCAATTTTCGCGAGCCGGACCCTTGCCAAAATCAGCGCATCTGCTGATAAATCGCCGAATTATAGAACAACATCAATTTTAAATTCGCGTTGAGAAAAGTTACGCGAACAAGTCTTGGCACTGTCACATTTCCGAATTTATGGATCTGAATTTGTCATCAAGGATTCGTGCAAATTTTTGGGCGCGCTTTTACGTTCAAAAAAGGAGCAAGACCATGTAAATTTGCCGGTCAATTGCACTTCAATTGTCTATTCCGGTCATAAAGTCCGCGACGACTTGTTCTAAATTTCATGGCACGTAGACGTAGAGGTACGCCTCATTACCCTCATTACGTAAATAGCCATCGAATCTCTGCACGTTAAATTTAATGGTCTGCAGTAAATTTGCGTTATTGCTTCGGAGGCAAAGCAAATTTAGGCTCGAGGACTAATTATTATTGATTGGAGAAAGTTTGAATATTTACAATGACACAATTAACAGTGGGCAACCAAGCGGGGACGCTGTTCGGCTTTTAGTTTTGAAACGGCAGTGAAGAGTTAACCATTGTTTCTCTTTGCAGATGATCCATGAAGGAAACAATGCCATTCTGCTGATTTCGAATACGTACGAGGAAGATACGGGAAAGTTTACGGTTCGAGCGACGACCTCCGCCGGTCAAGTTGAAAGATCTGCCAAACTAATTGTAAAAAGTAAGAAATAATTTTATTGTTCTTTTTCCCTCGAGAAGAAAATGTTATTAGCTTCCTTAGTTTAGTCAATTTTATGTTCTTGCCGATACAGTCGGCGCCAATTTGTTAATAGTTAAGGATGTTTCCGGTTTCGCACTAATTTTGTTAGATGCTGTGTTTGTCTAATTACTATTATATTTATGAATGTATCGTTAAACGCAATATTAAAAATAAAAGGCTGTTATTATGACTAAAGTTGAGTTTTCAAAGTATATCCTTCTGTGGGGAGCGCGCTCGTAGCAATCGAGTGCCTTCAGAAACTTATTTTGGTCAGTAAACCAAAAGTGGTGGTTTCTATTTTAAAATAAAATATGGTTGTTAAAGTGAATGGTGTTGGGTCGTGTGCAGCTTGAGCATGACACACGCCGAGAACTATTTTCAAACTTAACGTGGATTGCATTACCGATCTAAATTTGGAGACCCCGCTGACTTAAGGTTTACTTACCTTCGTCTCTATCGCAGCATCTCTTGACTAATGTGCTGCATAAGAAATAGACCGCTCCTTACTTACGAATTAGTGTATTTTTAAAATTTCTCAAAATAAAATTCTGGCTAAAACACCTTTGCTTGTACGTTCATTCTTTGTCGCCAGGTAACTTAAAATAAAAAAAATTGGATTCCGAACCAAAGTTTTCGGTTTAGTCATACTGTCGCCTACCATGCAAATTGGCAATTAACCAAAACTTGCCAATTTGAATAATCTGCTAAAACTCTCAAACATGTTTATTGCATTTTGCTATACATCGACTTAGAAACTAATTTTTTATATAAAAAGTTTAACGATACATAAATAAAGGTACAAACACAGCTCTGAACAAACGGCGAAAAGTCACAGACACACACATTTTCGGCGCACCAGTCTCAGTTGATCCTCTGCCGTTTCTTGGTGGATTACAACTGAAGATCGAGACACGTTTTACGCTTTGAGGAGGTCCAAAACCCCCACTATGACTCCACGCACGTTTCCAAAGAACGTCCCGTGGGGTAGACCAACGCAATTTGTGCGTGTGAATCACGCAGAGATTAAATCAAATTATGCAAAGCGATAAAAATAGAAAGAGTTACTAACAGAATCCACCTGATTAACCATTACTCAAACTTGCCCTTCAATTGTATTCAGATTTGGCCCGCTTCTCACTTTTATTTATGCCAATTGTCCAAAAGTGTGCCATCGCTTCCATTGCCAAATCAAATTTATTCGGCACGATAACTTAATCTCTTGCAGGACGTCCCGGTAAATTCAGGCGCGTCCCCGTTACCGACCACAAGGATAAACCCCAACAGCTGAAACCGTCGCAAACATCCGGTCAGCTAGGAACTGGCCAATCGCAACTGATTGACGGCGTTGGTAGCCCATCGCACGGCAAACCAACGGACGCTCATGAAGTACCACAAGGCGATGAGTCCTTACCGTGGAGAACTAAACACGCACCGGGCATTCAACAGGCTCAACCGTGGACGCAGGAAGAAGTACAACTCAAGAAGGTCACGAAAAGCGTGAAGGAAATCGAAAAAGACACGCTGGAGAGTGTCACACTTAAGCCCACCCCGTTGAAGAAGGGAGTGGTCGAGTCGGACAAGGAAACCGTAATTCTTTCGAAAGTGCCGCAACCCCTAGAACAAACAGCTGCCAAATCGAAGAGCGAGAAGACTGTGGCTAGGTGGGGGGAGGTCGAGGATGTCACGCTGCTCGAGCGTAGCGAAACGGAAACCAAAGCCGAGCTACAACCGAAGCAATGGAGGAAGATTAGGGCGAGCACCGAAGACACATACGCGTCTGAAACTGAACAGGTGCCACCCCTACAGCAAATCAAACGAAAAGATGTGAACTGGGAAAAAATTCAGCACGATGAAACCACCACCATTACCAAAGAGACTAAGGAGGAGACCGAAACTACAAAACGCAAAGTGGACTGGAGAAGACCTACGGTGGAGGGTCCTAAACGCGTTGATCACGTAGAGAAGACTGAGGACGTAACCGTAACCGAGGACGTGACAATGTTAGACATACAGCGCGTGGAGCAAGTAGAGCAACGTCCGCTGCCGTGGACTGAGCAGGTCAAAGAACTTAAACGTACCCCTAAAGTTGTCAAGACCCAAGAAAAGGAGAAGGTGGAAGACGTTACGCTTAAACCCGTACCGAGAGAACCTGGTGCGGAACAAAAGCGTGCAGTAGAGGATGTTACACTTACGCGTGTATCCGAAGAGGAACTCGTGCAAACGCAAGGGTGGCGAAAACCCAAACCGGACGAAATGAAACCGTGGACCGAACAAGTTAAGGAGCTCAAGCGTACGCCGAAAGAGGAGGTGAAGCACGAGCACATTGAAGAAGTCTCCGAAATTAGAGAGTGGAGAAAACCGAAAGCAGACGAAACGCAACCGGAACAGAAACTGAAGAAAGTTGAAGAAAAACCAGTTCCGTGGACGGAGCAGGTTAAAGAACTTAAACGAACTCAAATACAGAAGCACGAGGACAAACAAGAAGTTGAGGACATTACCCTTAAACCGGTTCCGAAGGCGAAGCAAGAGGTGTTGACCAAGAGAGAAGAGCACTTTGAAACGAAGACCGAGGAAGTAACTCTAATTAAAGACTGGAGCGTGAAAGAAATCAAAGCGGAAGAACAAAAACCAAAGAAAGTAGAAGAAAAGACCCAACCACATCTCGACAAAGCTATACCGTGGACAGAGCAAGTCAAGGAACTTAAACGTACCCCGAAAACCCAAAAGCCTGACGACAGAGAGGAAGTAGAGGAGGTTGGTCTTAAGCCAGTGCCAAAGGGCAAAAAGGAAGTGTTTGCGAGGAAAGAGGAGCAGGTGGAAACGAAGGTTGAGGAAGTAACGGAAATCAAAGACTGGCGAAAACCCCGGGCCGAAAAACACATTGAAGATGAAACCGTAAAAGAATTCAAACCAGAAGAACAACAACCCAGAAAGATAGATGAAAAGATACAACCACAGCTCGAGAAGGCGGTACCCTGGACAGAACAAGTAAAAGAACTGAAACGTACCCAAAAGGTTCAGAAGCATGACGAAAAGCAAGAAACAGAGGAAGTTGCCCTTAAACCGGTTCCGAAAGAAAAAGGGGTGATTACCAAGAAAGAAGAACACGTTGAAATTAAGAGCGAGGAAGTTACAGAAATAAGAGACTGGAGAAAACGAGGCGAACAGGCTGTGACGACTACCCAAGAGACTGATACCACAAAAGAAATAAAGCCGAAGAAAGCAGAAGACAAAGCTGTGCCATGGACAGAACAAGTGAAGGAACTTAAACGCACCCCGAAACTATTAAAGCCCGAAGATAAGGAGGAAGCAGAGGAGGTTAGTCTTAAACCTGTACCAAAAGGCAAAAAGGAAGTGTTGGCGAGGAAAGAGGAACACGTGGAAACGAAGGTTGAGGAGGTAACGGAAATCAAAGACTGGCGAAAACCACGAACTGAAAAGCAGGATGTATATCAAATACAAGATGAAACCGTAACAGAATTCAAACCAGAAGAACAAAGACCCAGAAAGGTAGACGAGAGGATACAACCACAGCTCGAGAAAGCTGTGCCCTGGACAGAACAAGTCAAGGAGCTCAAACGTACACCAAAAACTCAGAAACCTGATGAAAAGCCGGCACAAGAGGAAGTTGCCCTTAAACCTGTACCAAAAGAGAAGAAAGAGGTAATGGCAAAGAAAGAAGAACACGTTGAAATCAAAACCGAAGAAACTACAGAAATCAAAGACTGGCGGCAACTACGACCGCAAAAGGTAGCGGAGAGTGTTACTCAAGTAGAAGAAGAGACTGTAATGGAAATACAAACTGAGGAGCAGAAACGGAAGAAGGTAGACGAAAAGATACAAACAGCATTAGATAAGGCTGTACCGTGGACCGAGCAAGTAAAAGAACTGAAACGTGCACCCAAAGTTCAGAAACCTGAAGAAAAACCAGAAGAGGAAGTTGCTCTTAAGCCTGTACCAAAGACGAAGAAAGAGGTGGAGGCAAAGAAAGAAGAGCACCTTGAAATAAAAACCGAGGAAATTACCGAAGTGAAAGACTGGCGTAAACCACGCACGCAAAAGGTAGTGGAGAGTACTCAAGATGTAAGTCAAATAGATGAAGAAACTGTCAAAGAAATACAAATTGACGAACAGAAATTAAAGAAAGTAGACGAAAAACTACAACCAGCATTAGATAAAGCTGTACCATGGACAGAACAAGTAAAAGAACTAAAGCGTACACCAAAGGTTCAGAAACCTGAAGAAAAACCAGAACAAGAAGAAGTTACGCTTAAGCCTGTTCCGAAGACGAAGAAAGAGGTGGATGCAAAGAAAGAAGAGCACCTTGAAACAAAACCCGAGGAAATTACCGAAGTGAAAGACTGGCGAAAACCACGCACGCAAAAGGTAGTGGAGAGCACTCAAGATGTTACCCAAGTAGCGGAAGAAACAGTAACAGAGATACAAACTGAAGAACAGAAACCTAAAAAGGTAGATGAAAAGACACAACCGGCATTAGATAAGGCTGTACCATGGACAGAACGAGTAAAAGAACTAAAGCGTACACCAAAGGTTCAAAAACCTGAAGAAAAACCAGAACAAGAAGAAGTTGACCTAAAACCTGTACCGAAGAAAAAGAAAGAGATGGAAGCAAAGAAAGAAGAGCACCTCGAAACAAAAACCGAGGAAACTACCGAAGTCAAAGACTGGCGTAAACCACGCCAAACGCAAAAGGTAGTGGAGAGTACTCAAGATGTAACTCAAATAGAAGAAGAAACTGTCAAAGAAATACAAATTGACGAACAGAAATTAAAGAAAGTAGACGAAAAAATACAACCAACATTAGATAAAGCTGTACCATGGACAGAACAAGTAAAAGAACTAAAGCGTACACCAAAGGTTCAAAAACCTGAAGAAAAACCAGAACAAGAAGAAGTTACGCTTAAGCCTGTTCCGAAGACAAAGAAAGAGGTGGATGCAAAGAAAGAAGAGCACCTTGAAACAAAAACCGAGGAAATTACCGAAGTGAAAGACTGGCGAAAACCACGCACGCAAAAGGTAGTGGAGAGCACTCAAGATGTTACCCAAGTAGCGGAAGAAACAGTAACAGAGATACAAACTGAAGAACAGAAACCTAAAAAGGTAGATGAAAAGACACAACCGGCATTAGATAAGGCTGTACCATGGACAGAACAAGTAAAAGAACTAAAGCGTACAGCAAAGGTTCAAAAACCTGAAGAAAAACCAGAACAAGAAGAAGTTGACCTAAAACCTGTACCGAAGAAAAAGAAAGAGATGGAAGCAAAGAAAGAAGAGCACCTCGAAACAAAAACCGAGGAAACTACCGAAGTCAAAGACTGGCGTAAACCACGCCAAACGCAAAAGGTAGTGGAGAGTACTCAAGATGTAACTCAAATAGAAGAAGAAACTGTCAAAGAAATACAAATTGACGAACAGAAATTAAAGAAAGTAGACGAAAAAATACAACCAACATTAGATAAAGCTGTACCATGGACAGAACAAGTAAAAGAACTAAAGCGTACACCAAAGGTTCAAAAACCTGAAGAAAAACCAGAACAAGAAGTTGCCCTTAAGCCTGTACCGAAGACGAAGAAAGAGGTGGAGGCAAAGAAAGAAGAGCACCTTGAAACAAAAACCGAGGAAATTACCGAAGTGAAAGACTGGCGAAAACCACGCACGCAAAAGGTAGTGGAGAGTGCTCAAGATGTAACTCAAATAGAAGAAGAAACAGTCAAGGAAATACAAATAGACGAACAGAAATTAAAGAAAGTAGACGAAAAAATACAACCAGCATTGGATAAAGCTGTACCATGGACAGAGCAAGTTAAAGAACTGAAGCGTGCACCCAAAGTTCAAAAACCTGATGAAAAACCAGAACAAGAAGAAGTTGCTCTAAAACCTGTACCGAAGAAAAAGAAAGAGGTAGAAGCAAAGAAAGAAGAACATCTTGAAACTAAAACCGAAGAAATTACCGAAATCAAAGACTGGCGAAAGCCACGAACGCAAAAAGTAGTAGAAGGTACTGAAGTTGTTACCCAAGTAGAAGAAGAAGTTGTAACAGAGATACAACCTGACGAACAAAAACCTAAGACAGTAGATGAAAAGATACAACCAGTATTGGATAAGGCTGTACCATGGACAGAACAAGTGAAAGAACTAAAGCGTACACCAAAGGTTCAAAAGCCTGAAGATAAACCAGAACAAGAAGAAGTTGATCTAAAACCTGTACCGAAGAAAAAGAAAGAGATGGAAGCAAAGAAAGAAGAGCATCTTGAAACTAAAACTGAAGAAATTACCGAAATCAAAGACTGGCGTAAACCACGACGAACGCAAAAGGTAGTGGAGAGTAGTCAAGATGTTACCCAAGTAGAAGAAGAAACAGTAACGGAGATACAAACTGAGGAACAGAAATCCAAGAAGGTAGACGAAAAGATACAACCAGCATTAGATAAAGCAGTACCATGGACAGAGCAAGTTAAAGAACTGAAGCGTGCACCCAAAGTTCAAAAACCTGATGAAAAACCAGAACAAGAAGTTGCTCTAAAACCTGTACCGAAGAAAAAGAAAGAAATGGAAGCAAAGAAGGAAGAGCATCTAGAAACGAAAACTGAAGAAACTACCGAAATCAAAGACTGGCGTAAACCAAGAACGCAAAAGATAGTAGAAAGTACTCAAGATGTTACCCAAGTAGAGGAGGAAACTGTAAAAGAGATACAACCTGAAGAACAGAAGCCTAAGAAAGTAGATGAAAAGATACAACCAGCATTGGATAAGGCTGTACCCTGGACAGAGCAAGTTAAAGAACTGAAGCGTGCACCCAAAGTTCAAAAACCTGAAGAAAAACCAGAACAAGAGGAAGTTACCCTTAAGCCCGTACCGAAGACGAAGAAAGAGGTGGAGTCAAAGAAAGAAGAGCACCTCGAAACAAAAACCGAGGAAACTACCGAAGTCAAAGACTGGAGAAAACCACGCCCGCAAAAGGTAGTGGAGGGTAGTCAAGATGTAACCCAAGTAGAAGAAGAGACTGTAACGGAGATACAAACTAAGGAACAGAAATCGAAGAAGGTAGACGAAAAGATACAACCAGCATTAGACAAAGCTGTACCATGGACAGAACAAGTAAAAGAGCTGAAGCGTGCTCCCAAAGTTCAAAAACCTGAAGAAAAGCCAGAACAAGAAGAAGTTGCTCTAAAACCTGTACCGAAGAAAAAGAAAGAAATGGAAGCAAAGAAAGAAGAACATCTAGAAACGAAAACTGAAGAAACTACCGAAATCAAAGACTGGCGTAAACCAAGAACGCAAAAGATAGTAGAAAGTACTCAAGATGTTACCCAAGTAGAGGAGGAAACTGTAAAAGAGATACAACCTGAAGCACAGAAGAAGAAAATAGATGAAAAGATACAACCAGCATTGGATAAGGCGGTACCATGGACAGAGCAAGTAAAAGAACTAAAGCGCGCACCCAAAGTTGAAAAACTTGAAGAAAAACCAGAACAAGAGGAAGTTGATCTAAAACCTGTACCGAAGAAAAAGAAAGAGGTTAAGGCAAAGAAAGAAGAACATCTTGAAACAAAAACCGAAGAAACTACCGAAATCAAAGATTGGCGTAAACCACGAACGCAAAAGGTAGTGGAAGGTACTGAAGATGTTACTCAAATAGAGGAAGAAACTGTAAAGGAGATACAACCCAAAGAACAGAAGCCTAAGAAAGTAGATGAAAAGATACAACCAGCATTGGATAAGGCTGTACCGTGGACAGAGCAAGTAAAAGAACTAAAGCGTGCACCCAAAGTTGAGAAACCTGAAGAAAAACCAGAACAAGAGGAAGTTGATCTAAAACCTGTACCGAAGAAAAAGAAAGAGGTTAAGGCAAAGAAAGAAGAACATCTTGAAACAAAAACCGAAGAAACTACCGAAATCAAAGATTGGCGTAAACCACGAACGCAAAAGGTAGTGGAAGGTACTGAAGATGTTACTCAAATAGAGGAAGAAACTGTAAAGGAGATACAACCCAAAGAACAGAAGCCTAAGAAAGTAGATGAAAAGATACAACCAGCATTGGATAAGGCTGTACCGTGGACAGAGCAAGTAAAAGAACTAAAGCGTGCACCCAAAGTTGAGAAACCTGAAGAAAAACCAGAACAAGAGGAAGTTGATCTAAAACCTGTACCGAAGAAAAAGAAAGAGGTTAAGGCAAAGAAAGAAGAACATCTTGAAACAAAAACCGATGAAACTACCGAAACCAAAGATTGGCGTAAACCACGAACACAAAAGGTAGTGGAAGGCACTGAAGATGTTACCCAAATAGAGGAAGAAACTGTAAAAGAGATACAACCCGAAGAACAGAAGTCTAAGAAAGTAGATGAAAAGATACAACCAGCATTGGATAAGGTGGTACCATGGACAGAGCAAGTAAAAGAATTGAAGCGCGCACCCAAAGTTCAAAAACCAGAAGAAAAACCAGAACAAGAGGAAGTTGATTTAAAGCCTGTACCGAAGAAAAAGAAAGAGGTTGAAGCAAAGAAAGAAGAACATCTCGAAACAAAAACCGAAGAAACTACCGAAATCAAAGATTGGCGAAAACCACGAACGCGAAAGGTAGTGGAAGGAACTGAAGATGTTACCCAAGTGGAGGAAGAAACTGTAAAAGAGATACTACCTGAAGAACAGAAACCTAAGAAAGTGGATGGAAAGATACAACCAGCATTAAATAAGGCGGTACCATGGACAGAGCAAGTAAAAGAACTTAAGCGTGCACCAAAAGGTCAAAAACCTGAAGAAAAACCAGAAAAAGAAGAAGTTTCCCTAAAACCTGTACCGAAGAAAAAGAAAGAAGTGGAAGCAAAGAAAGAAGAGCATGTTGAAACAAAGATCGAGGAAGTCACAGAAGTCAAAGATCAGAAAGTAGCGGAACCCATTCAAGACCTCCAACATGAGGAGCAAAAACCTATGATAGTAGATAAAAAAGAGATGGAAGAACATGTTGAAGTGAAAGCGGAGGAAACTGCTGAAGTCAAAGGTTGGAGAAAACCAAGACCACAAAAGGTAACTAAGAGAACCCCAGAAGTTACTCAAGTAGGTCAGGAAACTATCAAGGATATTAAACCTGAAGAAGAGACACCTCAAATGGTTGAAGCAAGGAAACAACCGGATATTGAAGAAGTGGCAATAAAGCAAGTCATAACGGAAGAACCAAAGCCCAAAAAAATGGAAGAAAAGATACCACCAGCTGTGCCTTGGACTGAACAAGTCAAAGAACTTAAACGTACACCCAAACTCCTCAAACCTGAAGAAAAGGTAGAAAAAGAAGAAGTTACACTTAAGCCAGTACCTAAACACAAAGAGGAAATTCCAGAAAAAGAAGAGCAAAAAGAAGAACACATTAATGTCAAAACAGAAGAAGTTATAGAGACTAAGGATAGGAAAAAGCCCCGACGCCAAAAGGTAAAGGTACAACCAGGGGATAAAGAATTAGAAAAAGAAGAAGTGCCACTTCAAACGGACGAGCAAGTTGCCACTAAGGTCGAGGAAGTTGTTTACACTAAGAGCTGGAGAAAACCAAGACCTGAAAAAGTAAAGGTTGAATCAGAAGAAATCCAACCAGAGAAAACGATTTTAGTTGAAGAAACTGTAACAGAGGTGCAAGATACCGTGGTGCTCAAGGTAGATGAAGGGACAAAAGTTGAAGATCAAGAAAAGCCAGCTCGTATTAAGAGAAAACCAATTCCGATCGAACAACATACGGCACCTGTAGAAAAATTCGCTGACGTGAAATTGAAACCGACGAAAAAGGTTGAAAAAGCCGTCGAAGAAGCGCCATTGGAGACAGTAACACTAAAACCGATTCCTAAGGTTGAAGTGATTGAAATGCACAAAGTTTCTGAACCAGAACAACCTGTGATATTGGAGAAGACTGTTATAACGGAAATACCCGATGACTTGAAGAAATACGAACCTGAAAAGTTAGAAGAAATTGAACCATATAAGAAACCTGAGAAAATAGAAGAAAAGGCTGAGCCTGCCCCATGGCGGCGACAACCTAAGCCGCAAAAAGAGGAAGTCCCGGAAGAGCCGGTTAAAATTAAAATTGGTAAAGGTAAAATTCCTCAAGAGGAAATGAAAGAAGAAACTGTACAATTAAAACCGATACCTAAAAAGAAACCTGAGGACGTTGATGATAAGGATAAGACTGTGAAAGTAACACCTAAACGACACGATAAGGTTGAGATAGAAGAGGTTTCGCCAGAATTCGCGTTGCGCAAAGAACCCGAAATAACCGTTCATAGGGAAGAGCCTGATACCAAGCCTATTGACGTGCCAACTGACGAAAAAGAAGAACAACCTAAGGAAGCGCCTGTAGGGCGCTGGAGGAGACAAAAGAAAGAGAAGGAGCAACCAAAGGAGGAGGAGAAGCAATGGCCCACTGGTAAACGGCGGCCAAAAGGACCCGATGAACAAGAAGAAGTCAAGCTTAAACCTATTCCAAAACCGGACAAAGAACTTGAAGAAAAAGAGCCGAAGAGGGTAGACTTGGAAGATAAACCCAAGAAATCCGAGGAGAAACCTGAAGAAGTTCCAGCTTTGGTAATCAAACCTGTTAAGCAGCTGCCGAAGGTAGAAGATGAAGAACCTGAAAAAGTAGCTCTAAAACCTGCACCTAAGAAGGAAGTGGTTGTCGAAGAAAAGACAGAAATTAAAAAGCGTAGAATTAGGCGCAAACAGAAATACCTTGACAACATTCCAATAGATGTCGAAGAAGAGGAGATAATTGAAGAGGAAGGTTCCATGGAACCTATAAAGGCCGAATTGGTTCCAACGAAGCTGGAAGATCAGCAGGAGGCAGTCGTCCAACCGACTGTCACCACGGTTGAGTCACACGCGCAGATAACTCTAGCCGAAAAGGATAGCGGCATTGAAAAGGTTACGCCTAAGGAAACCGTTCAGGAAGAGGAGGAGGAAGAACAGTTTTATGCAAAGGAGGTGAAATTTGACATCGCATCGAAGAAAGCTGTCACAGAAAAACGGCAAATTAGATACTTCGACGACAACGACCGCCCCTTGCCCGAACTGGAAATCATTACCCAAAAGAGAAGCACGGAGGGAGTTGACAAAGTTCCCGAAGAGCCCATTGTTGAAGAAATCGAAGTTAGAGAAGATAAGCGAACCGTTCGTAAGTCTTTGATCGAGAAGCCGAGACCGAAACCGCCCAAATTTACTAAGCGAGTTGAGCCTGTTGTCGCCGAGAAAGATAAGCCCGCTAAGTTGGTGTGTAAGGTTGAAGGTTCTCCGTTCCCCGAAATCGCGTGGTACAAAAATGAGGTACTTCTCAAATCTGATGAGCACGTTCAGGTTACGGTCGTTGAGGATACCGTAATGTTGGAGTTTTCAACTGTACAGCCGCAGGACGTCGCCATTTACTCGTGTCGAGCTACCAATCCGGCGGGTATCGCTACATCTACCGCCAATTTGGTGATTTTAGGTACAAATTGCGTGTCTGTGTGTTTACGCAAAATGATTTTTACGCTTGTGTTTTCGCATTTAAAACTTTGCCTTTGATGGTTTAAAAATGCTTGTCTTTCATAGTTTTTCATTTGTATTTGTTCTACAGAAAAAGAAGAAACTGGCGTGGCACCGTTCTTTGAACAACCACTGAAACCACACATTGCGGAGGAGAAGAAAACCTCGCTACTGAAGTGCATTGTGCGCGGAACGCCAACGCCTTCGGTGCAATGGTTCAAAGACAACAAGGAGGTGGTGCCTGATGAGGGTCACCGAGTCGAATATAATCCAGAAACGGGCGAAGCTACTTTAGAAATTCTTTCCACTGTTACCGAGGATGAAGCTATTTTCACAGTGACTGCCGATAACAAATTTGGCAGAGCTCAATGTCGCGCAAACTTGGTCCTTTCGCATGAAGTGGTGGTTACCAAACCGCTTGTCATGGAAGCGCCCAAAATCACAAAGCCAATAAAAGCACTTGTCGCAAAACCGAACGAAGACATAATTTTGGAGGTGGAATTCAAAGGCGTGCCCACTCCGGAGATCTCGTGGTTGAAAAATGGGCAAAAAGTTGTTAGCGGCAAAGACGTGCAGATCGTAACCACTGAAGAGACTACCAAATTGAAGATTTCCAAGAAACATCCCAAAAAAGGAGGGAAGTACGAAGTTCGTGCCACTAATCCAAAGGGAGAAGCGCGCACGACAGGTTCCGTTACAATAACCGAAAACAAAGAAATGCACGATGCGAAAGCTCCAAGATTTATTCGTCCAATACTATCGCAAGTAGTAACATTGGGAGAGACGGTGATTATGGAGGCAGAGGTGGAAGCCGAGCCGCTTGCCTCATTCCAATGGTACCAAGGTACTGCTCCGTTAGTCTCGTCTTCCGAGATACGTATCACAACTGTAGGCAATCGGTCGGTGCTGCAAATAGCAAAAGTGATGACCAAAACCATGGAGCCGATAACGTGTCAAGCTGAAAATGCGATAGGAATGGTGACGAGCACTGCAATTTTGGAGGTGATTGAAGACGAGGAGTGGGAGGAGACCACCGAGTTGGTGTATCCGAGATTCGTGGAGAAACTGTCGCCGGTGACGATAATGGACGGAGAAACGGTGACGTTTACTTCCAAGGTGATTGGAAAGCCAACTCCCCTGGTGGAGTGGTTCTTCAAAGGGCAGCCTATACGAGAAGCCAAGGATGTCACGATTACGCAGGACACTGACGGTGTCTGCTCGCTTGCGATTTCTGAGGCGTTCCCTGAAAATGCGGGCGACTACACGTGCCGCGCGGTTAACCGGATTGGGGAGGCGGTCTGTACAACATCGTTAATTGTAGAGCCTTACGAGTACGTTGCCGATTCCGAAATTGGTCTTATGACTGGACCGAGTGGTTCCGAGGAAGATTTGCTGGATAAGGTTGGTACTGGTTTTGAATTTTTGGAAAATGACCCCTTGCCTTTTTGCAGACTCTCAGCGACTTGGAAATGTTCTCAGATAGTGACGTAGAGTGTGCCCCAAGGATTGTTAAGAAACTCCCGGAGGTGATTACTACAAAAGATGGCGATGTAACGAAGCTTGAAGTGAAAGCAGTTGGTAAACCGACCCCTACGGGTCGATGGTTAAAACAAGGCGAAGAGATTGTCGCTTCTAATGAATTTACCATTGAGAACTATGAGGATGGTACCTCGGTCTTGATCATATCGGAGGTGTACCCAGATGACACCGGGGAGATCGTGTTTGAGGCCCACAACCCGTTGGGCGTCGCCATTACGACAACGGAACTCACGGTAGAAAGTAAGCAACTTGGTTTTTTTTCTGCTTTTTATCTTGGTCTTAATGAACTTGGATTGCTTTCAGCCCATGGAGGTCTCTTCGGTACATATAACACTCACAATTAAAAACTATTTCAAAAGGTTCGATGAACAGATCATTAATTTTGTGTGTTTTTGTCTAGGCATTGTTGGAACCAAACTCTACCGAAAACCGGAATGGGTCACGCACATGGAGGAATTGCAGGACGCTTTACAAGGTAAACGCAAACAAGCTGTTGTTGCATGTGAGTTAGAAAGTGGCAGTTTGCATGCTTTATCAATGGACAGTTTGGAGGTCTCCAGTGTGAAATCGCTAAGAAAAGGTAACGACGAACTGAGTTCGGTAACTTTTTCATCGACGGATAGCCAAATGCAACAGACCGTCTCGCAAAGTTTCCAATTATCCGAGGGGATATCTGTTACATCTGTGCAAAGTGAACCAATACGCAAGCAAAAGGAGAAGATGTGCTTTATTCAGTCCACCATGGCGAGTTACCTCAACTCTCACCGTCACTCTCTGAGCTCAATCATGGAGCTAATTCACATCACCGATCGCGACCTGCACGCTGGCAAATCCCACGTGAGCCTCGATCTTAAAAGCTCACCGGAACCGGACACGGAAATGTTATACCTCCCCCACCACTCGGAACCATCCGGCTCGTACTACATTCTATCGCCCATTGAAGAAAACACAGAGCCTTCGACTGAGAGCGGAAGTAACGGTTTGGACGTAAACAAACTCAACTTCTACGGCTCTCGGATATTCTCCAGCTCCTGCGAGGCTCTACCAACGGGCAGCATGAGCGCTCTCGATATCCAAGAAAAGTACCAAACCTTCCCCAGAACCTCCCAACGGCAACGATACGATTACTACAACGAGAACGTCGTCTACTACCCGTTGGAACCACGAGAACTGGACCCGTCCGCATTCTTCCAACTGCACACCGCCGACAGCCAGGAGGAACTGCAGGAGTTTTTGCTCCTGGAAAGTGAATGCATGACCGACAGTAAAGGACGGGGTTTGGCGGCCGCATTCGAGTCGTCCGATGATGACGGCGGAGGTAACACTAACGCTAGCCCGTTTTGCTAACCTGCTTGTACGTGTGTCTGTTTAGATCGCTAAATTCCAAAATAATTCAGGATCGCGCGAGTAATTTAGTCTCGTCGGCAGGTAGGTCCGTTCGATTAATTTGCAATTGCTCGCCACCCCGCTGACTATCCACCTCTGTTTCAGCTGCTCGAAGTGTTCCGACCTTCGTCCAGGAAATCAAAGACGTACGAACAACCGAACTAGAAACAATAGTTTTCGAATGCATGTTTTCTGGGACACCCACACCAGGTAAGCTGATTCGGTTAATACCCACAAGCTAAAGGTGTGTCGTAGATATCGCATGGTACCATAACAATAAAGTAATACGTAATACTGACAAAATTAAGATTCGCATTCAGGACAATAAGACGACGTGCACCATTAAGGATGTGAACGTAGAGAATGTCGGGGCGTACGTCTGCAAGGCGGTGAGCGATGCTGGCATCGCCACAACGAAAGCGAAACTGTACGTCCAGGAGATTCCGCACCAGAAGAAATTGGAAATCAAAAAGGCGATCGAGGAGGAAGAGCGCGTTAAGAAGGAACGGGTCAAGGTCGAGAAGAAGGAGGTGCGCAAAACGAAGGCGAAGGAGTTGAGAGAGGACGTAATCAAACCGGTGGGCGTCGAGGAGGTGCGCACGATCGAGGTGACCGAGGAAATCGAGGAGGTTGTCAGCGAGAAAGCCAAACCGATTGTGCCCACCCAAGAGTACATATCGACCGAGGCCATCGCGTCCTGTAAAAAGATCGACGAGGAAGAAGAGTCGCTCGAAGTTCTCCAGAGACAGGCCGAAAAGAAACTACAGCCACAGGAGTCCATTGGGGTCACGGACGTAAACGTCGAAGATTTCCTGCAGGAAATCAGACCAAGCGCGGCCGAGTTGGCGAGGGCTACAACAACCAGATCGTCGCTCTTCGGAGAGGCGAGCGTAACCGAGGTGAAGTTGGAAGAAATCATTGAAAAGGTAGAGAAGGTCATCGTGAAAGAAGAACTGAAGATGGCCAAAGAGGTGACTGATATCCTCAACTTGATTAAGGCGAAAGAGTTTGGACCGGGCGAAAGTCCGCTTCGCGAACTGGCCGAGATCAGCTACCTGATGAAGACCGGAATATCAGTCAATGAGATCACGGTGTTGTACAACGAAAACAAATTTCCCTCGCTCAAAACTCCGGACGCTCAGTCCGCCTTGGTTAATGTGGTTGAACGTAAAGGACACAGCCCTTTGATATCACAGGTTTTGACTGAAGAAACCACTAGCGACGAAGGAAAGCTCGCCGCCACCGTCGGCTTCAAAGCCTTCATGAAGATGATCGAGTGCAACTACGCTACCGTTGAAGAAGTGATCACTCAGTTCTCACCCGAAGACTTCATTCAGCGTGCTTGGGAAAAGACAGAGGTTGTAGAAGTGAGTTACCCGCATTCTCTTTTAGCTAGTAATTATACGAGTCATTTCAGGACGTAACGAAGAGCGCTGCTGTTGAAACTGTTACTATCACACAGAAAGCTGAAGTTCACATTGGTGAGTCTTCATTGTTGTGGAGTGCTAAGCATTAATTGTTGTGCCATAAAAGACTGCCCGAAACCAAGCTACCTGTTTGTAAATTTTGTAAAGTGATATAACCAATAAGTTCCTACCTAAACAAAAAGCTTATTTTTTACCCCCAACCTGTTCACCCCAAGCAATGAGTTGTAAATCCCCTCCTAACACACTAAACCATGTCTTGCGCCTCCTTTACTGAGCCAAACTTTTTCTACAGAGAGCAGCAAAACCGAAACAAAAGTAAAAGAAGACATAAAACAAGGTAAGAGCGTGTGGAATAATCTCGACTTTTCGCATTAACTACAAATGATTATGCTTAAATGAATAGACACAATTTTTTGTGGGACGACTATTTTTTAAAGTCATCAAAAATCTAGGCGAAAGATGATACGTTTGTTCTAGATTTATTGAGGATTAACTCTTTGTCCAGCGGTAACCATTTGCGATAGCCACTTTAGAAGATACGAGATCATATTTTTCTAGTGGCTGCCATGAGCTCTAAGTCGATACACTGAATTAAATTAACTATATACTATATTACAATTTGTGGTTCAATGGTAGAGCGTTGGGCTATAAATCCGGAGGTCGGGTGTTCGAGCCTGGGTTGAGGTGAATTTTTCATTTGTGGCAGAGATGGGAATTACCTTAGACCAGTTTCGAGCATTCTGTCGGCTACTCCGAATTAGGTTTTCCTGCAGTTTTCCTAGTTCGTAAGGTAAATACCGGAGTAGTATAGAACAACTTAAGGCCTTCTGCAGAGGCACCTCTAAAAAGCATTATGCGGGTCCCTCTGTAATTGGCCGCAAGCCTGTTGAGGGCCCACAACAAGAGAGGGATAATAAATAAATAAATAAACAATCGGAAAGAAAAGGTCAGAACTGCGAGTAAATTCTGCTCTACCACTTAACCTCTGATGATACAAAAATCACGCAACGCTAACTTACTTATATGGGAACACTGTTCAGTATGGAAAAGAGAACATCAATTTGTTCGTTTGTTACTTAGTGTTTACGCAGAAAAAGCAATTGGCCACAAAAGTTAAAAAATCAAAATCAGAAAACTGAAATAGACTGCCAAGAGTTGAGGTTTTCGATCAAAAAATTAGATTCGCTTTTCAAAATAGTCATCAAGGAAGTTCGCGCCTTATTTAACGATTTGACACGCATCGGTCCTTCGATTGGTAGATGCCCTCAAGTTAAATCAACACATAGTGTGCCGTTTCGAAACCCTTAACTTGTTTTAATTCCCAAGGACTAATAGTTAACCATTTCTAACCGTCCCTTGTTATGATCCTGTTTTCAAGTTCGACAGCTTCAACGTCTGCTACTGGAGTCGGTTTCACATTTTTCCCATTTCCCATATACAGTGATATTCATTAAGAAGTAGACATATGAATGTTGTTGCTTTGGCTTCCATGTTATTATTTTCGTTCGTGTGCGATACATTCAACTGCAAGAGATTTATTTTCTGTGAAGCCAAAGTAACAATATTCAAATTAATTAATATGACAGTCAGATCTTTGTTTTAAGAAGTTTTTTGGTTGCATAAAATTAGGCGCCCTTCAGAAGAGATTTTGTCATTTAAAAGTAGACATAGGAACAGTACACGTAACTCCCGATGTCTACTTCGTATACGTCGATTTTTATCAGTAGAGATCTGCATCTTCCACGGGACGTAGTTGTAGTTTTCTTTAATGATTCGCCATATTTGCGGCACTCATTTTGAACACACTAAACAGACAACCCATACAGAACTCATCACTATTTTGTTATCACACACGTACTGGGTCGCATAACCTGTTAGATCAAAAAAAATAACGAGCCGCGGGTAATACGTTTAATGAGTAATGAACAATCATATGAAACTGAGCTAACTTGATTGTTAACTAATCAACTGACTGTAAACAGAGTGAGTGAGTGTTCATTGTCACTTTAGTAGTAAATATACCCACCACTTTTAATAAACACCTGGTTAAACAAATGTTATTTGTATTTGTTTAAAATTTGTTTATAAATGGCAGATCTCGGTTCAAAAAAGAACGTTTTTATACAAATTGACTTGTGGTGATGTGTGGTTTTTTTTGTATCGGTGGAAATTCGTTTAGGCGGGTGCCATTTGCAATTCAAAAAAGTATGACATTTGACGAAGGTCAATAAAAAATCTGATTTTTTGGATAAAGTGCATCAATTCATAACCTATCCGCCACGCTCGCCGGCGCGATTTAGTTTCTCTCAAAAATTCAAAAATGGCCACTTTTTGAATAGTCCGGTCAAAATAGACATTCCAAATAACAAACACTCTGACAGAGCTGAATTTTGGTAGAGACCTTGGGTACACCAATAGAAATAAAGTACCAAAAGTCCCCATAGATCCCATGTGTGCTAAACAAGTTATTCAAGGTCAAATGTCAAAATTTTCGGTTTTTTGGATTTTTGTCGAAAACGGTAGGTTTTATTAAAGATGTAGCTCAGACAAAAATTGTAGATCATAAAATGATCTATAAAAATGATCCTTACACTTTTTTCTTTAAGAATCACCATTGCCAAGATTTGCCCTTTGAAGGAGTTACATTCTACACATTTCCGCACCGTTGGTGAGGTAGTATACTTGGCGCGTTTTATAACGTGGTTTCCCCGGTAGGCCTACTCCACGATCTGTTATGACGGATTTTTATGGGAAAATACTAACGGCATGATGATTATTAATTTTGAAATTGCTATGTAGGTGATTTAAACTGCAGTTCCGATTAATGTTAACATTTTAATCTGATTCGCACTCTTCAAATTCGACTACAACAGTAATGTCTTCTTAGATTTCTTCTTCCCCGTATTCTTACTGGATGAAAGATCTTCATCCGCTTCATCGCCACAAAATAAGCTCTTTTCATTCTTCCATCAATCAAAGTTTTCATTCCACCTCCAATAACTGTAAAGGCCCTGCCAGAGAGAGCGCGATCTGCGATATTTGCATTCTATGTAATTTGTATTGTACCTGTGAAACAGAGAGCGGTTGTAATATTTTACAGAAATCGCGCGGTCCCACAGGTATTTTGAGTTGTGTTTACAGGTTGTAGGATGTCTGATTACACTGAGAGATTGATTTCTTTTGTTCGAGAGTGCATTAGCCCCATTTTCTCTCGCGCGCTTGAGTTACTGCAAACAAAAGAAGTACATCGGAAGAATTGATAGACATTTTTTTAATTTCCTTCACAAAAAATACTGTAAAAAAACTAGATCGCCAACTTTAGACCGGTTTCTGTGTGGCCACTATATAGAGCGGCAAACGCAGCGTTCTGCCAGAGAGAGCAGACTACGCTCTGTATAACCTGCCCTTAACCGATTTACCTTCAGCCAAAAGTTTATTGCAAATAAAGCACAACTTTGACTAATATTAATTGGTAATTGTAGTAATAGTAGACGCTATCAATAAACACATGTATTCTTTTGAACATTCAACACTAACAGTATTTTACTTAAGCCACTTGAAAAAAGCAGGTTATGAACTTTGCCACGCGGACAATAGAGTAAGCAGATTTTGATCAAGGCCATGCTGTAGAAAGGACTGGATAAGGGACTGAGTATCTTTTGAGTGTATATTCTTTGAATTGTATATTTTATAAGTACAAAGAAGAGACACAAATAGGCACTTTTACTTATTAAGTGCCTGACTGTGTAATGTATACGTGGCATTTGTACGCATAACATGTGGAATGTAAATCCTTCAACCCTTAGAACGGCGATATCTTAGGAATGGTGATTCTTAGGAGAAAAAGTATAAGAACTATTTATGTAGATCATTTTATGATCTACAATTTTTGTCTAAACTATATGTTCGATAATACTCACAGTTGTCGAAAAAAATCCAAAAAACGGAAAATGTTGACCTTTGACCTTGAATAACTTTTTGGCACACATGGAAGCTATGGGGACTTTTGGCACTTTCTAGTAGTGTACTCAAGGCCTCTACCAAAATTCAGCTATGTCGGAGTTTTTGTTCTTTGGTCAGTATTTTTACGTCTGTTTTGAACGGGAAACGTTATAATATTATAATATGTTAACAGCGAAAATGCTAAAGTTAAGGGTATAATGTTCCATAAAAAAATAAGTACTTTTCACATCTGCAATAAAATATGTGGTGTTTCATTTAAGAAAAAACTTGGTACGCCACTGGGATAGGTACAGCACGCCACTGGTATTAGTGCACAATTTTGCGCTCAAAATTTTTTCGGTCTTAGATGCTACACTCTGTATATAATTATTTCTTCCTTTTTAGTTTAACCATTGAAAACTATGGTAATAAAATCAAATACATAAAATAAATAGAACAAATGAAATAAACAAGATTGTGACCAGAACATAACATTATTTTTACTAGACACACAAACCATATTTAAATAACTGAGGGAATATTAGCGCAAAATTAAAATCATAGATGATTGACACATATAAATGAAAAAGAAACGGGTGATCTAAATCCAAGAGGGCATAAATTTGCGCCAAATTACCGCACATTCGTGACAATACAAAAGAATTTTAAACACTTTCCCTTTCCACACGAGTGCTGTTTGCCACACATCCGAATCTATCCCAAACTGAGCTCATGGCAGCAGTCCATTTTGATCCAGTGCTTGGTTCACAAATTGAACTTGAACTAAAATTGTTTTAGAATTGTATAACGGAACTACCGAGGTCATAACTTTATGGCGTGACCTTGAAATGACTTACGTTTAACCTTGTGCGGCACAAGGAGGTTTATTACATATGTAAATACATAATTTTTGCGAAGAAGCAAGACGAGGTCCTCATTTTATACCAAAAGTTAGCGGACATTTTTTTGCGAAAATGGGGCCCTTGTATTGCGACATTTTTTTTGTGTATATATTATTAGCATTGAAGTGGTAAGTTTTTATTATTCTTATGTCCGTCCCCATTAGCGTTATTTTTTCTTCGTATTAATTTTCGCGTCAACGTGTACGCTACGTGTCAATTGTCGCTACGCATTTTGTCGCTTAACGCTAACTTAAGCTACTACTTCTTCTTGAAAACGGTTGCAAGCGCCGCATGGCTTATAGTGATTGAAGTTTAGAGTGCGCTTCAGCTTTCGCGCATCTGTAGGTGAGTGCTCTATTTCTATCTCTTTCTTGTATATATGTTATATTGCTCTGTCACACTTCTACACTTCTTATAACGCTTCCGTTAACATAAATAATACACTACGGCTTTGAAGCTCTTCTCGTCAGATCTAGTAGATAAATTAGTCGACACTAACTCTAAACCGATAATAGAAACACAAAACATTCCTACACTTTCACAGAAACCATTGTGGTCGAGGAAGAGACCGTTCGAGAGGAAGTGGGCGTGAAACGAAAAGAAACCGCGCAGCCCACGCAAGTTGACCAAGTACAGATTACAGAGCTGCCCGTTGATGAAGAGAGTCAAACCACTCAGGCGTCATTTGCCATTGTTACGCATCCTACTGAAACACAAAAAGAGAAAGAAGAAGAGGAGGAGGAAGAAATCATTGTCTTAGAAAAAACAAAGAGTGGAAAAATGCAAAAGAAGACGCGTAAGAAGAAAGGCGAAGTAAAGGAAGAGACTGAGATTGTAGAGACGATAGAGAAAAGAAAATTACAGTCTAAGGTTCCCCAAGTGAGCGAGGAAATAGTCGAAGACGAAACAACGGGAATCATTAAACCATTTGATGCGGCTACGGAAAAACAAATGCCACTAGAATCTTCCATCTCCCTAGCGCAAGCAACCTCTACATCGCAAAGTGTGGAAATATCTGTGGGAAAACCGACGGAGCAAAACGTGGATGTCAGTCTGATCACCCACTCCGCTTTGTCCAAAGAAGAGGTTGTCGCGCAGGATAAGGAAACTGAAAGTGAGCATCCAGAGAAAGCCACTTTCAAGGCGACTCAAGCCATTGACGCAAAAGAATCTCTGGAAGTTACAGAACAAGACGTCCAAGTTCTACCCCAGGTGTTCGCCGACAAGCCGACGCCCCAAACGGCCGAGGCAACCACTAAGTTTGTACACAGCGAAAGTATCGCGGTCAGCGAGGTACAAGAGAAGTACAGCGTTGACGATTTGAAAAAGGAGACGGATGCCGACACAAAGGCTGGCGTATCAATTTTGCTACACGAAGCTGCAGGCGTCACCGAAACCGAGTTATCGCAACGCGAAGAAGATTTCGACACGGTGCCGTCAAGTAAAGTACAAGCAACAAAATCGGTCAGCACCAAGGAGAGCATTTCTGTAACCGAAATACATGAGGGTGATACTGAGGCGAAATTTGATGGCACATTGCGAGATTTAGCGACGAAACCTAAAGTCGACGTGCAGTTCGTAGAGTCTTTAATTATTAGCGAGGTCACTACGGAGGTGAAACCCGGAAAACATCTGCCACAATCGTTTGTAGCCACCGAGGTGGCAAATCCAAATGTCATTGCCCAAAAACCACTGACTTCGCTCGAGATGTTCGCGAGCGAGCTGGAAGGAGAGTATGTGCCAGGAAAGTTGCCACCCAGCCAAACAGCTGGAGTGGGTCTAATTACTGACGAAAGCTTACAAGTTGAGTATCCCCAAATTCAAGAGAAAGAGAGCGAGTTTCTAGAGTCGAAGCAGCCCGATCGAAGTACCGCAGACGAAGAGCTTATTTTATTGGAGGGGGTTACTGTTACGGGAACTGACAGTCAATTACCGCAAGGTGAATTCGTCGAGGAGGCTGTGCCGCGGCAAACTGCCGAAGTGGAAATATTGACGAAGGAGTCAGTTTTGACAAGTACAAACGTGGCGGTTGAAAGTGGTGGGGATTATTCGCCCGGAGACAAACCAGAGGGCAAGGTGGCGTCTACAACGCTTTTCTGTCTAGAAACGACCCACAAGTCGGAGGTTTCCGTGCATGAATCGGAAGGCCTACTCTCGTCTGATGCGAAACCAACGCAGGTTGTCGCGACGTCATCTATAAAGCCCACCGAATCGCTTGGTGTGTCGGAAGTGCACACGGCGGATTCGTCGACGGAATTTAAGGAGACCCCTAAGTATGTGACGGAAGAAGCAGAGTCGGTTATTGAAACTCAAGAGGCCAAAGAGATTACGGTAACACATGTCGGAGAGAAGGAAGGAACGTACGCGGAGGAGGTACCTTCCTTTTCCACCGTAAGCGCGTCGTACGCAGGGTCGAAATACGAAATTGGGGTTGTCCAACAGGAGACTATGGAATCTGAGGGGCAGCTTAAGCCTGATCAGGTACCTGATATACAAACTGGCAAGGAAATTTCCACCCATACGCTGCCAACCAGTATCGTTGAAGAGGTTCAAGCGGAAAGTCGCACGAAAGAATTATCAGACGAAACTCCACAGGCTGGATATGCGAGTACCACACATTCTACGCACACGGAGACGATTATCTCACAAGCGGTGTTAGATGAGTCGCTCAAACAGTACGAGCACGAGGAGTTGAATACTAAGCAGGCGGAGGTTGGGCTAACAACTGGCGAGGGAGTCAGCGTAACCGAAGTTTACGCGAAGGACAAAGAGGCTGACTACATTTCCGGCGAATTTACCTCCTATACCGCTACTCCTCAACTTGACGTACAAAGTGTTGCCAGTAAAATCGAAATCGAAGCTGATTTCGTCCCCGGAAATATTGTGGAGGACAAGCATCCCACGGACCAAGCAACATCATCACGTGATCTACTGGAAGGTTTACTGATCTTGCAGGCGCAGCTTGCTGAAAAGGAGACGGATTACGTCAGAGATCTACCTGAAACCAAACAAGCACTTGTTGACCTTACTAGTACTAACGTGGAAGTGAATGTAACGCAAGTTCTCCCCCACGAAAAGGAGGAGGATTACACCCCAGGTCAGAAACCGGTAGGTTCCTTGGCAAAACCTGCGCTTGAAACGAGCGAAGTTGTGGTACGCTCTGAAATAGAAACCGTAATTCATGCAGAAGAACTCCTTAAGGAAGAGCCATTGACTGGCAAAGCGAAACAGTACACGAAACCGTTCAGCGAACTGGTCGTTACCGAAGCAACAGCGACCGATGTTGAGTCAGACTTGCTCGTGCATAGAGCGCCGGATAGTAAAAATGCTGAGATCGCAGTTGCTCCGGCACAGTCAACATCCGTAACAACCGAAACCGTAACGGACGACAAGGAGACTGTGCTCGCTCCTCACTTACAACCCCAAGAAACCAAGGCAAACGTAAACCTATCAGAGAAAGAGGTGGCTTTAAGTCAAGAAGTTGTCGCTGCTTCTCTGACTGAAGATTTCAAGCCGGAGGTGATCAAAGAAGAAATGGCCAAAACCCAGCAAGACGTACACCATCACATCACACAAGCACACATGGTACCCGCCGAATTGGAGGACGAGCACTCCGTCGACGTGACACCCGATCTGAAGCATATCACCATCGAATTTGAGGAGGGTTCCAGCGTGATAGTCTCGGAAGTAAAACCACACGATAAAGAAAAGTCGCTCGAACATGTTGAACCCGAAACAGTATTCGGCAAAGCTGAACTGACCCCGTGCGGCACAACCGCGCTGCAGTCGGTGGTAGAAACCGATGACTCAGCCAAAGACATAGCGAAAAGCGAAGTGACAAGCGCCACAGCGACTTCCGAGCAAGAGGCGCTCAGAGAGCTAATAGCTTCCGTTCCAATTGTTAACGAAAAGGAGGGATTGTTTGAGGAAGGCAAGCCTACGGGTGTCACCGCCTCCAAGAATATAGAGCTGGGCGAAGGGGTCGCGATTACGGACGTCACGCTGTGCGACTCCGAACACGCTTTAACCAGTGCTTCGGCTCCCGATCTTCGCCAAGCCGAAGGAATCGTTGAAGGTCGCGATATCGCCGAACAATTCGAGGCATTCACCGGTGACGCTTATAATAAACTCGACCGGCAATCGCCGACCAAGGCAGTGGCCACACTTGACCAATTGGAACAGCAAGGGCTGACTCAGACGCAAATTAACTTGGGCGAATCCGAGGCGTCATTCGAGAAACACCCAATTCCGGAGTCTAAGTACGGCAGCGTTCAGTTTGAAGAAATTCAAATTCCCGCCGTAAACCAAACGGTAACGACCGAAAAGGAGGACGTTTTGAAACAACCAACGGAAATCGGCGAACAAAAGGCGAGTTTCGACGTCATCGAACAGACCGTAGCACAATCAAACGTTGTGACGGCACAAGATACAACTGGAGACGTGGCGGCCAAAGAGCTGCTCGAAGGACAGGCGAAGGTCGAGCACACGACCTTTAAAGGTCTGATTCAGACTCAGTCATCCATACGCGAGGCGGGTGAAACCTTCGATGAGTTTCCCCAACGCAGTGATCAGGCCCAGGTTGAATTTATCGAAAGCAAAAGCATTACCGTTACCCAGGTTACCGAGGGTGACTCCGAATCGATAGCTCCCCAAGATGTAGCGCCCGCAACGCAGAAAGCGATAACCGAATTTGATACCTACGAAACGGCGCAAACTTCGCAAGTGATTGCTACCGATGCCGTCAGGAACGTGGAGGTGGATCTCCCCGAGCAAGTTTTGGCCCAAAGTGACCATGTGCCTTTCGTCAGTTTGCAGCAGACAGAAACGGTTACATCGGAACTGGAAGGGAAGGGAGTTGATCAAAAACAGCCGGAATCCAAAACCGCCTTGCTAGCCGTCGATGAAGACCACAGCATTATGGTCACCTCAGTTGAGTTACACCAAAAAGAAAGTCCCTTGGCTGACTCGGAAGCGCCAGAATCGACGGTTGCCAACTTTGAGGTGATAGGCAGTAAGATGCTGCCTTCCGTAATGGAAGTCGCCCTTCAAGCTGCAACAGCAGACTTGGAAAAGGAGCTGAGGGAAAGCGCAACTGCTACCTCAGAGACAATTCTAATGGAGACTGTAACGCGAACCGAGGCGGTCGCTGCTGATAGCGAGACTGTTTTGGAGGAGGATGTAAAACCGTCTGGCATTATAGCGAATCTCGGTTATGAGTCAAGAAAGGGAGCCGTGACTTCCGAAATAACACTTGGCGAAACGGAAGAAGGCTACAAGCCCGAAGTGCTCCCCTTTACTAAAACAGCCAAGGTAGAGATTGATGGCGCGCTCTTGGCGCCCGAGCAGCACCTCTCTGAAACCACAGACGGTACAGGCGCATTAGAACACTCAAAACCGACCGAACTCCAAGCTTCGGAAACTAGAGAAACAGTTGAAGGAGTCGTGGTGTCGGAGAAACACGTTCAGGAGAAAGAGGGAGATTTCGATCAGGAGTTCAAGCCCGATACGTCAAAGGCAAACGTTAACCTGGAGCTGGGGAGAGTCGTTCAAAATATCACCGAGATTGTTACCCAAGACAAGGAAGAGGCGTTTCCCGATGCGCCCGTGCCACAAGACAAAAAGGCAACACCGAGCGTCGACAAGTACGAGGTGGCCGAAAATATAGTGGTCCAGGCGGAATACTCAACGGCGACCTTGACCGAGGAAGCGATCAGCAAGTCAACCGCCACCGTGACTCATACTATTGTGGATAGTGTAATTCAGTCCGAGAGTGACGTGAGAGAGTCGGAAAAGCCGCTAGATTCGACGACAAAGCTGCCCAAGAAGCTCGCCGAATGCACGATTGACGAAGAGAAAGCGGTTACGATTTCTGAGATTGTAACGTCGGAGAAGGAGGCTATGCTGAAGGAATTAGACGCGCCCTCAACCAGTACTGCTGACTTTGAGGTAACTGGTCACAAAGTGGCGTCGAATATTGAGGTTATAACTGAGAGTGTTGCAAGCGAGTACACTGTCAAGGCTACAGATGAGGCAACGGCTGATTTGCAACAGATACCAAACGAGGCGGTTATTCAAGTACATACCAGTGTGCAGGATAGCGAAAGGCCCTTCGAAGGGAAGCCGAAAGTGGCCGAGATGACAGCCGAGGTTGGTTTGGAGCACGAGAAGAGCGTTACGGTCTCTGAAGTGCACACGAGTGAAAAGGAGGACAGCTTGAAAGCGCTGGTTGTGCCCGAAGGTACCCAGGCAGAATTGAGTGTTAGTGATAAACGTGTCGCGGAGAGTTTTGAGGTGCTTGCGGAGTCGACCATTGGCAGTTTGGAAGATCAAAAAGTGCCAGAGTCAACCGCGAATGTCCAATATTCGCCTATGGACGCAGCGATTCAGTCGCAGAATGTGATACAAGAGGCGGAATCGCCATTTAAAGAGGATTTGAAGCCAGACTTGAAAACGGCGGATGTGGCGATTGACCAAGTGTCCGCGATTGTCACTAAAGAAGTGCTCTCGACTGACAAGGAGGAAGTTTTCGACTCCTCGTTAGTGCTAAACACTACAACAGCGCAAGTTGACGTTGCAACTCAACTGGTCGCGGAAAAAACTGAAGTGCAAACCGAGACAACCACAGCGGAGTACTCCGAAAAAGATAAAGCTCCAACAATGACCGCCAATGTCGAGCAGGAGTTGGGGGAGGGAGTAGTGCAATCGGAGGTGAACGTGCATGAAAGCGAGGCACCTTATATCCCATCCAGTACCGAAACCAAGACCGCCTCTTACTCGGTTGATAAAATTCAGAGCGTTATGGTCTCGCAAACTACTCTGAGTGAAAAAGAGGCACCCTTCGACGTTCTTCAAAAACCCGATGAAGGATTTGCGCAGTTAAACGTCCTAGGACAAGAGACTGTCGAAAAATCGGAGGTCTTTGTCGAAACCGCCACGGCCGAGTTGAAAACGGAAGACGTCGACAAGCACACCGTTGAAACCACGCAACTTACAATTGAAGGCATCATTCAGACGCAACCAGTGGTGCGAGAAAGCGAGAACGTCTGGACGCCCGATGCCAAAACCATTTCGAAAACTGCAGATGTCACAGTCGGCGAAGAAGCCAGCGTGATCATTTCCGAAATCGTGACCTCCGACAAGGAGAGCGCGGTAACACTAGATCAAGCGCCGGCTCTAAGCACGGCAAGCGTCGATATTTTAGACCAACGCGTTGCGACCAAAACAGAAGTGCTCACCGAAAGCTCGATCACGGAACTAGTCGAAGAAGCCGCGGAAACAGTTACAGCGTCCGTAGGGCAAAGGCCCAAGCAAGAGCTGGTGCAGTCCATCGTGTACTCGCAAGATTCCGAGGTGCCACTGTCCGAAGGCTTTAAGCCGACCACAAAGCAAGCCGATTTGATCGTTGATCAAAGCGAGGGCATCACCATATCCGAAATTGTGTCAACCGACAAAGAAACTGCGCTAGACGAGGCGGAACAGGTCGACACAACCACCGCTCAATTTGAAATTACCGGCCAAAATGTCGCACAAAAATTACAAGTGTTTTCCGAGAGCAACGTGACTGATTTGGGCGAGTTTGACGCAAGCAAAGTCACGGCGGAACTGAAACAAACACCGAGCGAAGGTGTGATCCAAACCGAAGTCCAAACGCACGATACCGAAGCTCCGTACAGCCAAGATTTGAAAATAGTAACGAAGGAAGCCGAAGTCTCCATTGAGCACTCGGAGGGCGTTACCAAGAGCGAGGTGCACGTCGCTGAAAGCGAAAGCACACTCGAGACGACGGAAGTACCCGAAACAACGGTCGCGTCGCTCGACGTTATCGGCAAAACTGTCGCGCAACAGTCTGAGGTCCGCAGTGAGTTTCTGTTCTCAGATCTACCAGAAGAGGACGTCAAGAAGGTCTCGGCTGATTTAAAGCACGTCGAAAGTGAAGGTGTTGTACAGACCGATATTGGCGTACATGAAAAAGAGGGCGATTTTGTAAAAACCCTTGAGATGCCCACGAAGCAGGCTGATCTGCTAGTAAAGCCAGAGGAAAGCCTTGTGGTTTCTGAGGTGGTAGTCAGCGAAGTCGAAGAGAAGTTGGATGTCAGCCAAAAGCCAACGGGCATGGTTGCTGAGGTGGATATTGTCGAACAGAAAGTAGCCGAGCATTTGCAAGTACAGACCGCAGCGTCACTGGGAGACTTTACAAGTGAGGATGTCGGAACGTTTACTGCGACTGTAACTCAAGGTGCTAAAGAGGGAGTGATGCAATCACAAGTGACCGTGCAAGAGAGTGAAACGCCACTAGTCGATAAGCACCCAGCTGACTCAAAGTTGGCCGACATTGCTGTCGATGGGGCCGAAACCGTTGTGATCTCCCAAATCGTATCTAATGAAGCAGAGGACTTGTTCGAGCAACCAATGCAGCCTGAGGGAAACCAGGCGACTTTAGAATTCCAAGAGCGGCGAGTCGCAGAGACCACAGAGGTCCTATCGGCCTCCACAATAACGAAATTTACAGAAGAGTCGCCCAACGAAGCAACAGCAGACGTCACACAAACACCAATTCAAGGGCTAATTCATAGCGAGGTTCGCATTGAGGAATCCGAGCAAACCTTTACGGGTGATTTCCAGAAGATACCCTCAACAGCCGACGTATCGCTTGAACAAGAGCAAAGCGTAACGATTTCTGAGGTGGTATCAAGCGAAAAAGAAGACTTGCTGCAAGATCTAAAAAAACCAAGCGAGTCTCAGGCGAACGTTGAACTAGCCGGACAGGCGGTTGCAGAAACGACCGTAGTAAAACCGGAAGAAGATCTGAGGCAATTAGCGGCATCAATCGAAGAAAGCAAAGGTGTTGCGGAAGTCAGTCGAATCCCCAGTGAAGCTCTGGTGCAAACGGCAATTGAAGTGCAAACCACAGAAATGCCCTTCGATGACAAATTTACTCCTGCAGTTAAGCAAGCCGACGTAGTTTTGGACGAAGACAAAGGTATTACCGTTTCTGAAGTCACCCCCAGCGAAAAAGAGGATCTCTTCGCACCGACTGAAGCGCAAATAACAGCGAAGGCCGACACGGAGATTACCGGTCACGTGGTGGGTCAGAGTACCGAAGTTCAGGCCGAAACAGTCGCCTCGGAATTTTCAAAGTTCGACCTGGAGACGCTTCAGGTGGAAGCCGGCGTCCAGCAATTACCGCTGGAAGGGATAATACAATCTGAACTGCGCGTACAAGATAGTGAAATGCCGTTCACGACTCCTGCAGCGGAATTTAAGTCGGCCGATCTAAGCGTTAACCTCGAAGAGAGCGTGAAGGTAACTGAAATAATATATCAAGAGAAGGAGGCAAGCTTTAAACCGGGCGAAGGCCCAAAGACTGAGCACGCCGAGTTAGAGGTCAGCGTGCATGGAATTCCACAGAAAACTGTGGTGGAAACCTCCACGGCACCTGGCGAATTCAAACCAGAAGTGGTAACGACACAGACAGTGGATGTTACCCAAACTTCTCTTGAAGGAATAGTACACTCTGAAGTAAACGTCCAAGAGAAAGAGCAAATGCTAGCGCCTAAAGATGTGGAGACCATGGTGCAAGCAAACATCGCCATCGACTTGCAACAGCTAACCACGACGCACGAAATTGTAAGTCACGACAAGGAAGAGAAATTCGAAAGTCAACCATCGGCGACATCCATTGCGACTGTTAACGTAGAAGATCGTAAGATAGCTGAGACTTACCAGCAAGTGTCAAACGAAAATATAACCGACATGGCCAAAGTAGAAGGACCCTCACCTGGGAGCGCTGAACTCATACATGACACGCTCGATAGCGTCGTACAGACTCAAGCTAGCGTATCCGAATCTGAAGGTACCTTCGAAGAGAAGTTCAAACCGGACAGTAAAATAGCCACTACGATATTTGAGGAAAAAACCAGTATAGATACCTACCAAACCATTACCGGCTATAAAGAAGCGGAATACACGCCAAGTTCCGCCAATGTAGAGATGGCCGAGAAGACCATTGACACTACCGAGGCATTAGAACATCTGCAAGTGCAAACTGGGGAGAATATCAAAGATTTCATTCCCCAAGAGCAAGCCCTCAGTATTGCCAATATCACGCAAGACTCGCTAAAGACGCTTACCATGCAAGAAGAAATGGTTCACGAACGCGAGGGAACGTTTACTAAAGCACCAAGCATCAGGCACGAAGCTAGCGTTGACTTGGAAGAAATAGTTTCGTTAAACATCAGCGAAGTTATTACCAGCGACAAGGAGACGAGTATAGTTGAAGAACAAAAACCAGAGGAGAAGCGGGCCGAATCAGATGTTGTCCCGTTGGAAAGCGTCCAGAAGCATGAAATCCAAGTTCAGCATTCTACCGATACTTTGAGCAGAAAATCGCCACAAAAAGACATCGCACTTCCAGTGCAAACAAGCTTAGATACCATAACCGTCCAGGAAACACAAATACAAGAAAAGGAAGACACATTTGAAGAGTCTCCAGTTGGAGAAAGAACGGCGGAAGTGGCATATACTCCACAGGAGCACGTCTCGGTATCAAAAACAATTACACATGAGAAAGAAGGCGAGCGAGAACAAGATAAGGTCCCCGATTCGGTATCGGTGACTGCCACAATTCCCACTCGGGATAGTGTTCAAACTTCGGAGGTTACAGCGGGGTACAATGTGGAGGAATTGAAGCAGCAGGAGCAACCCAGCGAGCTTGCTGGTAAAACTTTGGACGCGCTAGAGACTGTCAACGTCAGTCAGTTAATATGCGGAGAGAAAGAGGAAGTTCTAGTGGTAAAAGCCGATAGAACTGAAACGGCAAATGTCGATCTGGAAGCTCCAGAAGAAAGCATTATTGTATCAGAAGTCAATTTAGGAAGAAAGGAGGACGTGTTCACACCATCGTCTCCCGCTTCAAACGTAGCCCATCTGACAATATTAGACAATGTGTCAACACAACGCTCCGAAGTGGAAACCTTAGACACGTTGAAGGAGATGGTCGACAAATCCCAACCGGCTTTGGCTCACGCAGTTAAGAAGCACGACACTAGGGAAGGTGTCATTCAGACAACCACATCAGCAAGTGAGAAGGAGGAGTATTACGATGTGAAGCCGGAAAGCTCGCAAACTGCAAGTACGACTGTAACCTACCAAGAAGGTATTAAAGTGACGGAAATTACCCCCATTGAAATGGAGAGCGAAAAATTGATCTCTGGGACGGCATCAACAGAAATTGCCCAAAAGCAAACGCCTAAATCATACGCAGCCATACAAGAGCAAGTTATTGAAATGCAAGCGGAAGGCACGTACGTGCCAGATAAGTTGCAAGAATCTTCGGCGAAAACCACAATAACCGCAGAGAATTATGGCGTAATAGTCACCGAACACACATCAACGGGTGAGCTCGAATCTGTACTAAGCGAACAAACACCTCACAGCAAACAGTTAAGAATGGCCCTAGAAGACCACGACAGCAGTCTCCAAGTAACGGAAGTAATACCAAACGTACGCGAAGGTAAGTACACAAAACCTACCAGGCACGACATAACATACACAGATAAAACACTCGCGACAAAGAACACAGTAATTACAAATGCACACAGCATTTTCAACAACAATGACACACAATAATTATTATAAAACTTACAGGCCACCTGGTCGACACTCAACCACACACAACACGGGCAAGAATAACACAATCAACAACTCAATCCAACGTTACAGAACAAATCATACCCGACCTTAGGGAAAATACAGATACAGTTTCTAAACCTGACACTGAGGAAACATACGAAATTGTAACTAAATTTAAAAGCTCGCCGGATACAGATGAAAACATAACAATTGTAACGAAACGTACGATTATCAAACAAAAAGACAGCCAACAAGATTCTGGTACAGTAGTCGTAGAGGAGGTAATAGACGACACGACGCCTGAAGATGAAAGTGTCGTCATTGAAGAAGTAACGGAAGAGCAACCGAGAAAACGAAGAGTGAAGAAAATCAAGACGGGCACAAAGCAAGAAGTGATAATTACAGAAGCAGAGGAAGAAGAAACCAAACCCACAGTGGAAGAATTGCCAGAAGAGAAAGAAGTTACTCAGGTCATTAACGATGAAGGCAAACGCACCAAGCGTGTCATCAGGAGACGGAAGATCATTAAAAAGGAAGGTGGTAAGCAAGAAACTACCAATATAGTTACAGTAGAAGATGAAGGTCAACCGGCCCAAACCACGGTAACGGTAGAAGAAGAAACGATACCAGATGAAATGACCCAACAGCCCATAGTTGAGGAACTTCCCGAAGAGGAAGAAGTAACGCAGGTTGTGGATACTGACGGCAAACGCACAAAGCGAATTGTAAAGAGAAGAAAGATCATCAAGAGACAGGATGGCAAGCAACAAACCACCGATATCGTGACAGTGGAAGATGAAGGAAAACCCGCTGAAACAACTGTGACGGTTAAGGAAGAAGAATTCCCAGAAGAAACACCCAAGCAACCCATAGTTGAAGAACTTCCCGAAGAGGAAGAGGTAATTCAGGTTGTGGGTACAGATGGCAAGCGCACAAAGAGAATCGTGAAAAGACGTAAGATCATTAAGAGACAGGATGGTAAACAACAAACCACAGATATTGTGACAGTAGAAGATGAAGGCAAACCTGCCGAAACAACTGTGACAGTCAAAGAGGAAGAGGCACCAGAAGAACTTCCCAGGCAACCTATAATTGAAGAACTCCCTGAAGAAGAAGAGGTTACTCACGTTGTCGGTAAAGACGGCAAACGAACTAAGAGAATCGTCAAAAGACGTAAGATCATCAAGAGACAGGATGGAAAGCAACAAACCACCGATATCGTGACAGTGGAAGATGAAGGAAAACCAGCTGAAACAACTGTGACTGTCAAAGAAGAAGAATTCCCAGAAGAAACACCTAAGCGACCCATAGTTGAAGAACTTCCCGAAGAAGAAGAGGTTACTCACGTTGTCGGTAGAGACGGCAAGCGCACTAAGAGAATCGTCAAAAGACGTAAGATCATCAAGAGACAGGATGGCAAGCAACAAACCACCGATATCGTGACAGTGGAAGATGAAGGAAAACCCGCTGAGACAACTGTGACCGTAAAAGAAGAAGAATTCCCAGAAGAAACACCCAAGCAACCCATAGTTGAAGAACTTCCCGAAGAAGAAGAGGTTACTCACGTTGTCGGTAGAGACGGCAAGCGCACTAAGAGAATCGTCAAAAGACGTAAGATCATCAAGAGACAGGATGGCAAGCAACAAACCACCGATATCGTGACAGTGGAAGATGAAGGAAAACCCGCTGAGACAACTGTGACGGTAAAAGAAGAAGAATTCCCAGAAGAAACACCCAAGCAACCCATAGTTGAAGAACTTCCCGAAGAAGAAGAGGTTACTCACGTTGTCGGTAGAGACGGCAAGCGCACTAAGAGAATCGTCAAAAGACGTAAGATCATCAAGAGACAGGATGGAAAGCAACAAACCACCGATATCGTGACAGTGGAAGATGAAGGAAAACCCGCTCAAACAACTGTGACGGTTAAGGAAGAAGAATTCCCAGAAGAAAGACCCAAGCAACCCATAGTTGAAGAACTTCCCGAAGAGGAAGAGGTAACGCAGGTTGTGGATACTGATGTCAAGCGCACTAAGCGAATTGTAAAAAGACGAAAGATCATCAAGAGACAGGATGGCAAGCAACAAACCACCGATATTGTGACAGTGGAAGATGAAGGAAAACCAGCTGAAACAACTGTGACGGTAAAAGAAGAAGAATTCCCAGAAGAAACACCTAAGCAACCCATAGTTGAAGAACTTCCCGAAGAGGAAGAGGTAACACAGGTTGTGGGTACTGATGGCAAGCGCACTAAGAGAATTGTAAAGAGAAGAAAGATCATCAAGAGACAGGATGGAAAGCAACAAACCACCGATATTGTGACAGTGGAAGATGAAGGAAAACCAGCTGAAACAACTGTGACGGTAAAAGAAGAAGAATTCCCAGAAGAAACACCTAAGCAACCCCTAAGCAACCCATAGTTGAAGAACTTCCCGAAGAAGAAGAGGTTACTCACGTTGTCGGTAGAGACGGCAAGCGCACTAAGAGAATCGTCAAAAGACGTAAGATCATCAAGAGACAGGATGGAAAGCAACAAACCACCGATATTGTGACAGTGGAAGATGAAGGAAAACCAGCTGAAACAACTGTGACGGTAAAAGAAGAAGAATTCCCAGAAGAAACACCTAAGCAACCCATAGTTGAAGAACTTCCCGAAGAGGAAGAGGTAACACAGGTTGTGGGTACTGATGGCGAGCGCACAAAGAGAATTGTAAAGAGACGAAAGATCATCAAGAGACAGGATGGAAAGCAAATAACCACCGATATCGTGACAGTGGAGGATGAAGGAAAACCGGCTGAAACAACGGTGACGGTCAAAGAAGAAGAATTCCCAGAAGAAACACCTAAGCAACCCATAGTTGAAGAACTTCCCGAAGAGGAAGAAGTAACGCAGGTTGTGGATACTGACGGCAAACGCACTAAGAGAATCGTGAAAAGACGTAAGATCATTAAGAGACAGGATGGTAAACAACAAACCACAGACATTGTGACAGTAGAAGATGAAGGCAAACCCGCGGAAACTACTGTGACAGTCAAAGAGGAAGAGGCACCAGAAGAGATGCCCAGACAACCCATAATTGAAGAACTTCCTGAAGAAGAAGAGGTTACTCACGTTGTCGGTAAAGACGGCAAGCGCACAAAGAGAATCGTGAAAAGACGTAAGATCATTAAGAGACAGGATGGTAAACAACAAACCACAGACATTGTGACAGTAGAAGATGAAGGCAAACCCGCCGAAACAACTGTGACAGTCAAAGAGGAAGAGGCACCAGAAGAAATGCCTAGACAACCTATAATTGAAGAACTTCCTGAAGAAGAAGAGGTTACTCACGTTGTCGGTAGAGACGGCAAGCGCACTAAGAGAATCGTGAAAAGACGTAAGATCATTAAGAGACAGGATGGTAAACAACAAACCACAGACATTGTGACAGTAGAAGATGAAGGCAAACCTGCCGAAACAACTGTGACGGTCAAAGAGGAAGAGGCACCAGAAGAAATGCCCAGACAACCTATAATTGAAGAACTTCCCGAAGAAGAAGAGGTGACGCATGTCGTAGGAAAAGATGGAAAACGCACTAAAATAATCACAAAAAGACGTAAAATTATTAAAAAGCAAGACGGGAAGCAACAAACCACGAATATTGTGACAGTTGAAGAGGAAGGCAAGCCGGCACACACCACGGTAACTGTTTCAGAATCAGAGATAGAAGAGCTTGAGCAGAAGAAAGTAAAACCGAAAACTCGTAAAGTTCTCAAACGAAAGGTAGTAAAGGAACTACCTGAAGCTCTTGAAACATACGATGTTGTAGCAAAGGATGGTAAGCGAAAGCGATGCACTAAGCGTGTACGCAAAATTATAAAAGAAATTGACAATAAGTTCGAAACAACAAAAATTACCACAACAGAGATTGAAGGTGAAAAGCCCACCACCAATATTACCGTGGAAGATACTGGACCATTACCTGAAAGTCAGTTGTTAGACGCGATACCAATTAAGGAGTTGCCCGAAACTGTTGATGTTGAAGACATCAGCGATGACGAGGGTAATAAGATTAAGAGAATTACAAAACGCCGAAAAATAGTGAAGAAGGTGCACGGCATAATTGAAACTACCGAGATTATAACCTTCCAAAATGAGGGAGCGCAACCTCAAACGATGGTTGTTGTGCAACAAGCGAAACCAGAAACAGCCAAGTTTGTACTTCAACCGGAACACATCAAAGATGAGCAGGGGGTTTTGGACGCTGTTAAGTACATTTTGGTATCAAAGGCTTTGGATTTGGAACTCCCTGATCTTCCAGAATCGCTTCTGGACGTACCAGAAGATGAGCAGAAATCAAAGCCCAAAAAGAAGAAGGTTGTAACGAAGAAAATTTCCGAATCTGAGATCATCGATCAGATCGAGGTGGTAGAGGAACTTCCTGAGAAGGTAACTGTAGTTGAGTACGTTGATGACGAAAATAAACCACGTGTGAAAACCATAAGACGGCGTATCATTAGAAAACCGAGAGGTAAATTGATTGAGGTTACAGAAATTGTAACGACGGAGGAGGAAAATGAGGTTCCACAACATACGGTGACCGTGACTGAATATGATCGTGTGGAACCGAGTACTGAGCCGGTTGTTTACCTGAAGGAAATGCCAGAAACTCAGGAAATCGAGATTGATACCTCATCAGATGTTCCGAAGAAGAAAATAACCAAACGGCGTAAGTTAATCAAACGACTTCACAGAGGTTTGGAGACGATCATCATTACTACAGTTATATACGACAATCAAGCACCGGAATTCGGGGTTAGTATCGAGTATAGTGGCACGGAGGCGCCTGTTGATGACGAAGAGGCCGTTGAAAAGCTAAAACGAATTATGCAGAAGGTTCTAAT